ATCAACCAAAACACAAAACACTAAAAACTACAAAACAGACTTCCACAAGTTAAAAAAGAAAAACTCCCACAAGTGGAGAAGTTTCCAATCAGGAGAACCAAAAAGAAGATAAAAGACTGAAAAACCGAAAGACTTCCAAGTAGGAGAAATAACAACAACAAAACAACATAAACACAAAAGCATTAAAAACATTAGACAAAAAAAAAGCCCATCCAACAATCGATAACCCCCATCGAACGAATCAAGACAAAAACACCCACAACTGGCAACCCAACAAAAAGAGCCACGACCAGAGATCCAGAACCAGAAACTACCAAACCACGCCTAACTAGACCCAAAGCCTATGCCGCACCCACTCCTAGGCGGACGACCCCAAGCCTGCAACAAAAGGTCCACTCCCCAAAAACCCCCGCCCCACCGACAACCCAGGATTAGACCCCCAAACCACAGCCCAAGCCCCGAACCCGCCGACCGACTCCTCGAACTAGCACCAGGAAAGAGAGAGACAAGAGGGAAAGGGATAACACACCTTTGTCCCAACCACCACACAGGGTTGTCGAGGACACAATCCTCTCTCGAGGAAGCATCGAACGCCAATCGCAATGCCGCCAGGTAGACGACGAGACTCCACCCACCATGACTATCATAGATTGACGAAATCCACTGGGGCACACCCCTCCACCTCCTCCGTCGACAAGCCATGGCTCCAGGGCGATCAGAGGCGGATGCATATATAAGGTAGGGGGGCATGGTCCCCCCAAACTTTTTTCTTTCATTAGTACTATGTATGTATACTATATAGTATTATGTATATTTAATTACTTTGTCACCCTTAAAATATATATTAAAGTAAATAATCTGGTATATAGGAACAACTTTTTTTTTTTATTAATTCAAACATTACAATTTTATGTCTTTGTTGTTAAATATATATCTTTATCGTATTCTAGATCCGCCCCTGAGGGCGATGACTGTCTAAGAACCGGGCCACACAGCCAGGTGGCGGCCACCACCGTGGCTGCCCGGCGAGCCTGACTGGGGAAGGCTCAAGAAAAATAACAAGGATTCACACGAATTGGGGATTTTTCCGAAAAGGAGATTTGGGATAAGGAAGAAACTGAGTATGTAATTTCAACTCTATAGGTTACAATTTATCCGATAAATTAATCTATAGGTCAGGGACTTATTTAGTTGGAAAAAAATAAGCGGGGTGTTATCCTATAAGTCTAAGTTTAAAAAAAAAAAATGAATAAGATTAGTCCCATCCGATCTAAACAATTTTTGTTTTTTAAATATGAAGAAATAATGAAACCATTGCAATTTGTCAGAAATACTAGGCCTACTAAAGGCACAAAAAATAAAGGAAAAATGGAAAGTTGTCAACATTATTGCATTAGATTCTTTGTCAATAATTATTTATATATTTGAATTTTCTTTTGTTTATTGCATACCAGTTTTGTTATAAAATTATCGAATGATACGATATATGAAGTCATTCACAACGATTAAAAAATAATGTATTTGGCACGTGTTTTGAATTAACTACACTTTAGCGCGTGTGTCAATACATCAATTCTACCGGTTATGTAGAGTTTATGTGTTGCATATTGTTTTTTTTTTTTCTTTCTTTCTTTTTGAATAGCAAATGATCATGTTAAGGTTAAATTAAGCTGATAGGAAATGAAGAAAAGTGGGCCAATTGAACGGGTCCTCAAAAAGGTTAATGGTAGGACCAAACAAGAATGTCTACGCAAAACCGTTATCAACAGGGCCCAAGCAAAACTACAAAAGCTAACGACCAAAAATTGGCTAACTTTGCTTTAACTTGTTAACCATTTGTATTGGGTGCAATTTGATGACTCAACTGGGATGTATAATGTTAAACCAAACCTTAAGATGTTTCAATCTTACATACACTTACGGGTATTGGTAGGACCCTGATCATTCAATCAACGGAACTGCTGATTGAATATAATATTTATTTTCTCGTTTACGAAAGAATTGTACTGCTGATTGAATACTATTTGTATTATATATGTATCTTAGCCTATATGTTTGGTAAAACTAGCTTATAATTGATAAGTTAGTTTATAGCTTATATGTAATTTTCCATAATAAGTTAGTTTATAGCTTATATGTAATTTTTCAGCTTATAGCTTATAGATTATGACTTATAACTGAAAAACCAGCTTATATGATAAGAGTGTTTGGTAAAATTAGCTGATAAGCTAGATGAAATAAAAAATTCAACTAGCTTATTTGAAAAGCTACCTAAAAAAGATTATGATATAAGTTCGAGTTCTTAAAAAAAGTTGATCTTACCAAACGAGGCTTATTTAAATACAATGAACTTATAAACTAACCAAATAAGCTACAAGCTAGCTTATTTGGCTACCAAACGTAACATTTAATCTCAATGATGATATTTTCGTATTAGATAAGATAGATTTTGATTTTACGAACACTTGAAAGACATGCCGGACAGTAGTTCAGTTAGTTTGATTTTGTGACAATAATAAAATAAATGTATTTTATGATAATTGTACACCATTGAAAATATTCTAAAGTTTTCGGTTACCTAATTGCACGTTTTTGGCTTCTAATTACTTCCAACTTGGATCTTTTTCTATGAAAAATATTTTCTTCTCTCTTTTTTTACTTAAAAGATGTCAATGTGCACCATCTCATTTCACTTTAGTGGAAGTACTTTTAATAAAGCACCAATCTTTATGAAAAAGTCGTATCTAACCCCTTATCTTTTACTACTTACCATATGGCTGCTTATGTGGTTCTCCAAGTTATCATATCTAACCCCTTATCTTTTACTACTAGTACATTTGAATTATATAGAAACTTGAAATTGAAAATGAAAATTCACTAATAACATGCCATGCATGATGAATATGGTGTTAAAAGATCATGAGATTTGACATATAACTCATGAACATGTACGTAACATAACGTATAAAGGGGTGTACATGTGCAAACAACTACAATAATTGGATAATATATTTAGTTAATTGTCATTAATTATCATAACTTTTTTAATGCCCCTTAAAAGTAAAAGTATGAAAAGTAAGAAACACCTATAGGTCTGGTCTTTGAGATAGGTTAGGTTGCTGTAATTAGGATAAACAGGAAAAATAATTAAATAAAATACAAGCCAATTGGGTCATATTGGAGATGAGGACTTTATAAGGTTGGTGTATGAGGTAACTTGTTATTTATTTACATTATATCGTTTCTGACTTTTATTTTAATTAATCATTTACAATATGCGTATCTAAAAAATTAAAAAGAAAGTAAGTCTTAAAACATCTTCAACCAGAAACTCTATTTTTAGAGTGTCTGCATTAAAATTTTCTTAGTTTTATAGTTTCAACAATGCCAGCAACTCTAACTTATTCCTTTTATAATTTCTCTATAAAAGAATATTCCTAGCATATTCTTTTATAATTTTATTAGTTTATTAAATAGTCTTTACAAATTACATTTTAATGCAAGTACACTTGCATAAAATTTTCATATTTACGTGTATATATATATATATATATATTAAATATTGATTAATTTATTTAGTAATTTTAATTTTACTGATTGAACTGTTAATTTTGAGTGAGTTGAAAGTTTATCCATATTTTGTAATTTTAACTTGTTTGTTTGTAATATTTATTTAAGTGATTTTAAATACTAATTAAAATACTAATTAAATTTTAAAATATTAAGTTGCAATAATTAAGTTTAAAATTTTAATAAAATATTTTAATATAATCCATAAACTAATTAAATTATAAAAAATAAAAAAAAATAACCCAACTCATCTACCCCAGTTTAATCCATAATTCTAACCCAATCGTAGTTAGAAAAAATAAACCCAATTCATGGCCCAAAATTTTCCAACCCAACTTATTTTCTACTAAAAAAAAAAAGATAAAGACAACAAGAGTGAACAGTGGAATGGTGGGGAAGCTGTTCCACAAAGCTCTCCGCTTGAAATAGCGAAGAGGAGAGAGTTGCATTGGAGCAAGATTTTCTCTATATATGCAGTTTCCGTTGATTTTAGAGGGTGGTTGGATATGCTCTTAGTATGATATATATGCTGGATATGCTTTTAGTATGATATATATGCATCGAGAGAACAAAATGACTTAGTTTTGTTTCGTTTTACATTGAATAAATTACTTAATAATTATGGGAAAGCACCCAAAAGAGCTTGCTTCTTTTCCGGCCTCCCCTGGAGTAGGGATGGTCAGAACCTCCGGCGACGGTAGTGTTTTGAGTGTCGGCCCCAAAGTGTGCATGGAGGTGCTGTGGTGGTGGATTGTCTTTGGCGGGGCTGAGAGTCTAGTTTGGGCTGAAGTTCTTGTGTCTTCTTCCCGACGGATCACACTTCGATGTTTGCTTGGTCGTGTTCGCACTGGGATGGTAGTCGGGTGGGGGAATGTATTTTTCCTTAGTTTTAGCTTCGGTTGGGAGCTTCTCCTTGTGGGAGTTTATTTCTCTTTTGGTGGGATTTTGTTTTCTGTTTTCGTGTGCTTTGTTTTGGTTGTTGCTAGGTAGGTTCTACATTACACTTTGTGTAGCTGTCTCACCTAGACTTAACTAGTTGGCTAGTTATCAACAAATTTATTGTTTCTAGGTGACTTAACTAGTTGGCTAGTTATCAACAAATTTATTGTTTCTAGCCTGTATTTATGTTTTCGTTCAATGAAATCTATCCTTGAAAAAAAAAAGTAAACCAATCCACTTAACATAAATAATCTTTTGAGTACACATTCCCACAAATAAGAAAGGTGATGAGTATATTAAATAAGAACATGACAATCTTAACCTCACTATTATGTTCATGCATACACCATTCTCCAAAAAGGAAAATTTAAATTAAAAAGAAAAATTTCAGTATTCTTGATTATAATGAAGAGAAAATACATCTATGTATTTTATAAATAAGAAATTGTTTCGAATGTAATTACTATTTAGTCTTGAAAATATCTAATAGCATTCTTCCTTTTCTTCTATTTTGACTTGGTTGCATTTGACTCCTAACAACGAAATTTAAAAGATTGACTTCGATAAATTTGTGTGCTTTAATAAGTGTAGATTAGATTTAAATTGATTTGTATCAATGATGATGTTTTTCAATTTATTTGTTTTGAATACACATCATTTGTCAAGAGCCAATCTTTTGTTAATCCATTGACTAAATTTTATGGATAATTGATTGAGACGAGCTCGCAATAACTTTTTTGAACAAATACGATCGGCTCCGGGTCTAACTTATTTGTTTCTTATTATATTTTCCTTTTAGTACATTTTATTTTCTTAGATATTTAATTAGTAGGTAAATTAATTATCTTGGTAGTCAAGATATGTTAGGACTCTTGTTATTTTTATCTGGCTTGGGGAAACAGAACGACACAGTTTTGATGAATAATATTTCTGCGTTGTGAACTTTTGTGAGAGAGTATCTCATATTCTTCCCGTTCGTATCACGTTCTACATCAGTTGGTATCTAGAGACTAGCGACGATCCACGATGCCGCCCAAGAGAGGTAACGCCGTAAACGATAACACCATTGACGATCGTTTCCAGCGAATGGAGGATCGATTTCAAGGGATGGACGACTGATTTATGGACCTATCGACGAGGATCGAGGAATTGCGCCAGGCAATGAGTACCATGATGGAGGAGGCTCGTGCGAGACGCGACAGCGGCGACCAGGCCGTGCGCGGTGGGTTTCGCGGAGGTCGTGGGGGACGCGGCTATGGTGGGGCGCCCCGCCGGCGTTCACCAGGGACTCCGTATAGCGATGAGGAAGATGAAGACACCGTCAACGAGGTTAATTCGTTCGCTAGAGGACAGCGACGGCGGCCGGCGGGTGATGACGTCTTCCGGCAGAGGGATTACGGTGGAGGACGTGTTCCTCGCGGCTTTGGCGGCAGCGATAATAGAAGCCGTGAGGGACGTTTTGCGTGGGGCCGAGCAGACGCAGACGATGACGGCGATTGGCGGCCTTTTGGTCTAGGGTTTGACGACGGCGGACCTCATTTCGATGATGGGGAGCGGGACTTCGACCAGCAGGAGCGGGCTGAGTTCCATGATCGTGACGGATACGAGCGAGTGGTTCTGAACCGACGTGACGGCAGACGCCCGATGAAAGGGGGGGATGACTCGTATTGGGAGCAAGGGTTTCGTGTTGATATTCCCGAGTTTGACGGCGGAGTGGACGGATCAGAATTTATCGATTGGTGGGCTTCGGTTGAGGCCGCCCTTGCTTTTAAGGAGGTTCCAGAAGGGAGGCGTGTCACTTTAGTCGCCACTCGTTTTTGGGGTCGAGCGGCAGTATGGTGGATGTAACTCACCAGCTTGCGGCATCGTCAAGGGAAACTGCCACTATCATCGTGGATGAATTCCAAGAGTATGTAGAGCGTGAGTTTGTTCCTTACAACTACGATAGCCTTTTTTATCAGCAGCTGCAAAATCTACATCAAGAGACACGCTCGGTAAATGAGTATACGACGGAGTTCCATCGGCTTTTGACTCGTGTCGACTTATGTGAGACAAAAAATCAGCTAGTTTCTCGGTATGTAGGAGGGTTACGTACGGGGATTCGCGATATGTTGAATATATTTCGATCGGATTCGGTGTCAGATGCTCACCAACGAGCCCTCCTCATTGAGATTCAGTTGGGGCAGAAAGCGGGACAGCCCGGGACTTCATCTTCACGTCCGGGAGCGGCAATGGAAACAGGCCCGCAAGTTGCGCATTCAGGACCAACGGAGAGTGGCGGGTTTGGCCTCGGCAGCACCGCTGGTCGTACTCCGACATCTGGTGGAGGGATTCGATGCTTTGGGTGCGGTGAGCTTGGCCATCGGCAGGTGGCTTGTCCAAAAGGGGCCGGGTCACGTGCTCTGTTCGCCGAGGAGACAGCGAAATATTCGACAGTCGCAGTATATGATGGCCCTCCTATTTTTGATAAGGAGCCGGAGGTTCCTGAGGTGCATGTCTCGGGGGACGTAGGACATGCGCTTGTCCTTCGACGGTCTCTTTTGTCACAACACATCGAGTCCATTGATGAGGGCCAGCATAAAAAACTTTTTGAATCTATGTGCACTGCGGTCGGGTGTGTCGTTTTGTTATTGATTATGGGTCCTGCGAAAATGTGATCTCTGCTGAGGCTGTGGTGAAGCTTGGGTTGTCGATGGAGCAGCATCCAGATCCTTATGCTCTCGCATGGATACAGCGTGACAGTGCTGTCTCTGTTGACCGACGAGTGTTGGTGTCTTTCTCTATTGGTTCTGCATATAAATATGATGTGTGGTATGATGTCGTGCCGATGGATGATTGACACCTTCTCTTAAGGCGTCCTTGGCAGTTTGATCGCGCCGTGTTGCATAATGGGCGCGTTAACACGTATGCGTTCTTGTTTGGGGGCACCCGCTTTGTTTTACATCCCTCGACCCTCTGTTTGGTTCCTTGGCCACCGCTGTCGATGGCTTTATTCCTTTCTCACGTAGAGGCATGTGAGGAGGTGTTCAGTTCGTTGGTCGACCGTTCGATGGTGTTTGATGTGGGTGACTTTGCGTGGGTTGTTTCCCCAACAGACGGTCGGCTCAACCCCTACGAGATTGTCGAACACCTTAGTCCGGATGCCTACCGTCTCTGTTTATTATCACATGTGTGTTCGCTGGATGTTTTCCATGTACGCAGTTGGCCCCTTTGCAGCTCGGCGACTCCGACGGAGACAGGCTCGGTTCGGATTCGAGGGCGAATCCTTCTCAACCGAGGGAGGATGATGGAGACGAGCTCGCAATAGCTTTTCTGAACAAATACGATCGGCTCGGGGTCTAGCTTATTTATTTCTTATTATATTTTCGTTTTAGGGCATTTTATTTCCTTAGATATTTAATTAGTAGGTAAATAATTATCTTGGTAGTCAAGATATGTTAGGACTCTTGTTATTTTTATCTGACTTGGGAAAATAGAACGAGACAGTTTTGATGAATAATATTTCTACGTTGTGAACTTTTGTGAGAGAGTATCTCATATTTTTCCCGTTCATATCACGTTCTACATCAATAATATTGTCCAAAGTAATTTTTGTCCATATTTATTAAAAAGAATGAGTTGCTCGTTACTTCAGTTCAACTAGACTCGAGTTCGTTAGTTAACAAGTTAAATTTGACTCAACTTGTTAAGGTTCAAACTTAATTACTAATTTATTTAATTAACGAGTTAAATTCGACTCAATTTGTTAAAGACTCAAACTCGACTGAGTTGTGGTCAAAACTCAAAAAAATGTTGGATAATATATTAATAAGNACAAAAAAAAAAAAAAAAAAGAAATAAAAAAGCGAGGATATTTTCCCCTGTACCCGCACCTCGCCCAAAGGCATCCTCAGCCAGGAACGTCCAATTCCGTGATGCAATGATGTACTACACCCAGCGTCACTTTCTCCCCACGCGTCGCGTCCTCATTGGCTGATAGGTAACATCCACAGTACGCTTTAATTTCCTTGCAATTTTTCTCCTACTCTATTTCCCCCTTTCTCTTTCTTCCCCCTGCAAACTCCACTGATACTCCAAAGAATAATAATATCTCCATTTCAATTCCAACACAGTAAAAAGGGTGAAAACAAGAAATTTAAAATGCTTCGATTTATTTGCATTGAGCTGATTTTGGGAGCATTCATGGCTTCCGATTGATTAGTTCTTTCGTTTACTGTGTTCACGTGCATGTTTGGTTGTGTATAGAACAGTGGCAGCAACTGTAAGTCTTCTCTCCACTTTTTACGCCTTTGCTTTGTTCTAGGGTTTTCTTCGTCCTTATTTTTGTAGGTTTTTGCTAGTAACTGGGCTTCAGCTTCTACCTGTACTTTTTTTGCTACTGGGTTTCAATTTTTTCCTCACAAGAAAATGGAAATTACTGTTTCTGTTTGGGGAAGAATGATTCGTTTGTTTAGTTTTGGTGATCGGTTGGGATTGGTTGGTCTTGATGTGGGTTTTGAAGTTCATGCTGTATCTAAGTTATTCGTGATGAATTGAAGGTCTTGTTTGGAGTTTTACTGAATTGGGATTCTAAAGGTGATATCTTTTCTTCTGAAGTAACTGGAATTTTTGTAGTGTTTGTGATGAGGCACTCGGGGATAATTTAGAGGGATAGAGTGGGCCGGGATTGAGGGGCAACAGCTATGAGTTGTGGTGGTAAGAGCAAAGGGAAAAGGGACGAGGCTGAGCACGGGAGTCTCGGCCGGAAATCAGTTGAAGCAGTTTCATACAAAGGACCGAGCACTGCCCCTGTGGATTTATGCATTGATGAGAGAGTTCTTGTTGACCCCAAGTCCCTTTTTATCGGGACGAAAATTGGTGAGGGAGCTCATGGTAAAGTTTATCAAGGAAGGTTAGTATGTTAATTTTTGGCTTGTAATAAATTTTTCGAGTTCAAATTATTACTTACCATTTTTTTTTTCTAATTATTGAGTTCATCAATGAAATTGCATACATCCAAACCTTTTATGTATTTAGAATCGTTTGTGGAGTAGCTTTTGTTGTATGCTTTATGTAGCATGGAATTCTTATAATTGTGTGAATCCCTCTGTTGCAATAAAAAGTTTATTAGGCGAAGTTGTGCCGCCTAAAAGGAAAAGGAATGAAAAAGAAAATATAGTATAATTGTCTATAGTGCTACACGATATCTCACTACAGTTTCTCATTTATTTCATGTTTTATTCTATTTGAATGTGAGATCTAACCTGAGGTTTGAATCTATATGCTACCTCCTACTCATAGAGTGAGAGAAAAATAAAGGAAAAAGAGTACGCTCTGATCTTGTTTAGAGTTGAGATGATAATTTGAATGATACTGGTGATCTGTTTGATGTTCTCTCACTTCATTACGTTATTTAATAGCAAATCAACCTGTTGTAACAGGTATGGTGACCGTATTGTTGCCATTAAAGTTCTCAACTGTGGCAATACATCGGAAGAGAGATCAGTCCTTGAGAGTCGTTTTGTTCGGGAAGTCATGATGATGTCTAAAGTAAAGCATGACAACCTTGTCAAGGTGACTGTTTGACAATGTGTTATTTCTATTTATATAAGTCTACGGTTTTCTAGATAAAGATTGTCGATGTTGCTAGATTTTCTCAACTCTATCTTCTTTTAACTCGGCAAGGTCTTTGTTATTACATTTATTAACCTTTTCTCCATTGTGGTTCTAGCTTTAACTCACCGTGTGGAAAATCCTATTGCAGTTTATTGGAGCTTGCAAAGATCCTCTAATGGTGATAGTTACGGAGTTGTTGCCGGGCATGTCTCTTAGAAAGTATCTGGGCAGTATACGTCCTAACCAGTTGGATCTGCCTGTTGCGCTAAATTTTGCTCTCGATATTGCCAGAGCCATGGATTGCTTACATGCAAATGGCATCATACATAGGGACTTAAAACCTGGTAATTTTGTGGGCTATAATATTTTTAGAATAGACCTGCTCTTATGCTCTCCACAATAATATCTTGCTTTGTCTTAGTGCAATTTTTTTTTTTTTTTTTTTTTTTTTTTTTTTTCATTTGCATTGTGATACCAGTATATCATATATATGTTTATTTTTCACTTTCAACCGTTGTTAAATACTGAATAATATATGCTTCTTTTTTCTTCTCTTATGGAATAATAGCTTAATGTGGGAATTTACTTATCTGAAAATTTAATTAAAATTATAATACTCTTGTTCAGACAATTTGCTGCTTACGGAGAACCAGAAGTCTGTGAAGCTTGCGGATTTTGGTCTTGCGAGAGAAGAAACTGTCACTGAGATGATGACTGCTGAAACCGGGACCTACCGCTGGATGGCACCCGAGGTTTGGAATTTCCAGTATTATTATTATTAACTTCAGATATTTTTTTTTTTTAAAAAAAGAAATTGCATATTTATATGTACTTCGTTTTGAATATGGGGACCTGCTTTTGAAATGGCCCTAATTAACCAATAATTCGGTTGGAAAACTGCAGTTATACAGTACCGTTACACTTCGGCAGGGGGAGAAAAAGCACTACAATAATAAAGTTGATGTTTATAGTTTCGGGATTGTGTTATGGGAACTACTCACCAACCGTATGCCATTCGAGGGGATGTCCAATTTGCAGGCTGCTTACGCTGCTGCTTTTAAGGTAATATTATAGGTTCGAGGTAAAACTCAAAATGTAGTGCTTATGCCCTTAAATTTTCAAGATATCTCATAGAAATAGTAGAAACTAACAAGAACTAGAATCGAGTGCAAATAATAGAAAATTGATAGGATTTGGGTTTATTAATTCATCTTTATACAGTTACATATCCATGTCAGGTAGTTATCCATGTGGTTCTATCGTGAACTTGTGAACAATGAATGAAAAAAAAAAAAAAAAGGTTTATGAAGTGTGACTTTGTAAAATGCAGCAAGAAAGGCCTAGCCTTCCGGAAGATACTCCAGCCGAGCTTGCTTATATAATCCAGTCATGCTGGGTCGAGGATCCCAATATGCGGCCCAGCTTCAGCCAGATCATTCGCATGCTCAATGAGTTCCTTTTCAAGCTCAAGCCATCTTTGCCAGAAACTAACTTGTCTGAGCCGGAGCTGACGAAAAATGGGACCATAATCGAGTTCTCCACCCGCGCAAAGGGGAGATTTGCTTTCTTGCGCCAACTTTTTGCTACAAAGAAGGCCATAAACTCGTAGTGAGAAAAAAAGGTGATATATACAGTAGGTTAATTACAGGTTCATGGTGTTCGCTTTTCGTGGCATATGGTGAACACTTGTGAGAGATAGAAAATGGTGTTTGTTCCTTGAAATCTGTAGAGNTGAGAGTTGTGCTTGGGTTTTTTTTTTTGCATAAATGTGGTGAAATACAGTTAATATATGGTATCCCTTTGGAGATGGATAAAAATGCATGTAAAAATTGGATTTATATATATATGGTCGCTTGTGAAGGTGTGTTTATGTAATGCAAGTGCTAGGCGATCCAAAGATAAAAATGGTTGAATTTGCCAAAAAATTAGTAACAAGTTTATACTTCTATACAAATTGAGTTTCTTATTGTTGGATCGGGATACTTGTTCAGATTTGTGTGAGTGTGTGTGTGATGCAATGATAAAAATAGTTGAATTTGCTCTAAAAATGGTCAAATTACAGATTTGTGTGTGTGTGTGTGATGCAATAATGAAAATAGTCGAATTTGCTCTAAAAATGGTCAAATTTACCGAAAAATTAGTCACAATTTAATTAATTTAACTCCCAATTTTATTTCACTAAAGATATGGTTCTTTTTATGTCTATAGCTGTAAACGAGATAAGTCGTTGGTGAGTTTGGCTTGTTATAACTTGAAATTAGATTTTTTTTTTTTTTTTTATGTAATTTTCTATAATTCGTTAAGGCTTCAGTTTAATTTTAATATCTATTCCGTAATATTAATAAATCAGTCGGGTTCAGACTTATTTATCTGACTCATTAAAAATAACTGCATGAGCTACGTTAGATATTAGACTCGATTGATCAAATGTCGAACCCTATTGATGTCTTAATCCGTGAGATTGCTGAATTCCATTCTCAAAATCAATTGTCAATAAATAATAAATAACCTTCAAAATCAGCTCACAAGCTTGAAGCTGAGTCACGAAATCAAAAAATCAGAGCGTCCGCAATCAGTTGTTCACTATCACTCAGTCAAAGTCAGCACACGTGCCGCTATCTTGACCGCACCGACGTGATCCAACCAACGGCCCAGATGCTCCGACGAACTGAGACCACGTGTGCCATTTTTTTATTTTTTTTTTATTTTTTTTTTTTTNTTTTTCAGAGAGAACACAAAAAACAAAAACATGTGAATTAAAAAGCGAGAGACTTGATCGAGAGTCAACTGCAAGTGTAATTGCAGCCGTAATTTACAACACTGTAGAATAAGAATTCTTTTTAGGTAAAGGTTTATAGATGCGTGAATGTATCTCTCTACCTGCAAAAAAAATCTGAGAAGAGAGCGCGAGAGTTTGAGATCTAGCTGAAACTTATCAATTGTAAAATATTTTCTCTGTAATTGTCAGCCTTGAAAGTCCAGTTCTTTTGATTGTTCTAGTGCGGGAAAGGCTGTGAGAGAGAGTGGAAGAGTTTTCCTCTGAAGATTAAGGTTGATGACCATCTGATCTACATGTTTGATGCAGTAATCAATGGTTGAATTATGTGGATTTACCTTTTTTCATTTTTTCATCTGGGCCGTGAGCAAAATCATCGATGGGCCCCTTTATTCGAGGAAATTGAGATTGCATGGCTATATGCCTTTATCAGTTTAGAAAAATACAATCTTGATTGTTAAAGCTGTTATCTTTTAGCTCGGATTTAGTAAGGTTATAAAGGTTGTTCGGTGAGATATCGATTTTGCTTAGTTTTTTTCCCCATTTTAAATTTCCCTCTTCCTAGGGAAGTTGGGGGAACGTGATGATATGGGAGAAAATGCTTCAGCTTTGCATACAGCTGTAAGGCTATGTTTGGTTCAACGGAGGGAAAGGGAGGGGAGGAATTTTAATGGAGGGAAGGGAAGGGGAGGGGAGGTGATGTAAAATTATTTTACCTTGTTTGGAAGGATTTTGTTGGAAGGGAATGAAGGGAAAATGGTAAACCTTGTTTAGTTAGATAATGAAAGGAGAGGGAAAATAATGTTAGAATGACAAATGTATCCTTAATGATGTTAAAATAAAAATTAAAATATTATATATGACAAAGATAAAATTGTAATTGAGTGTCTTAATATTTTCCCTCCCCTCCAAATTCTCCCAAAATTGGAGGGGGAGCCATTTTCCTCTGCGCATGAATTAGAGGGGAAAATCTCATCCCCTCCCCTCCACAAAAGAGTGAACCAAACAGAAGAAAATTAAAAGTTTCCCTCACCTCCCTTCCCCTCCCCTCTGATTCCCTTGAACCAAACACTACGTAAATTCAGTACAGTTTGATGTGAACTATGATACTAGGTAGTCTAGGTTGCTTTATTGTAAAGGTGTGGCGGGTTTGAGGATTGTGGAAATTGATGAAGAGCACACTAGGGATGTGTACTTATCCGATGAATTAGTGGTTCCCAATTTATCAAGGGACATCAAGAATTTGCATGAGCAGGGTGGCCGTGATGGCTTTGGTGTCTGCAGTTATAATTAGGTATGTTTTGTTAGAATTTATGGCGAAGATTGTCCTATGTAGTTGAAATATATGTGACTCGGGTTTTCGATATTCGATACATTTTCTTGCACGTGCTCCTTAGGATATAGAATGAAATGCTGCAGATTTTGTTTGAACTATTTGATATGTTTGTATGTAATTTGTGTTTGATTCTCCACTTTTAGGTGATTTGTACTCTTATTACATGGTATATGTTTGTTGGTACTTAATACTTACCACAAATGGACCGAGCAAGTTATGAACTTTTGTTGGGATGTTCTTTTACATGTCGTAAATCGAGAGAGATGCTTGTCAATGTATTATAAGTTGTTGAAAAATACTGCCAACAGATGGTGGAATATTTCAACAAAAAGGCTAATCTCTCGGGAGATACTCCACTTGGTAGCTTCAACGCTGCATTCAGCTATACCGCATATTGATGCTGCTTTTACAAAGTCCCTTTGCATGGATGGTTTTAAGCAAAACGAGTGCCGAAATCGTGGGACCCACCCGCTTTAGCAAGGTTATTGATACATTTTTGTATTTTTTAGTCATGTAAGTTACGCACATCTAACTATGGGATGATTAGTATTTTTTTTTTCCTAATTCTTTGTGTGTTAGCAGCTTTATCGAGAACTTTGGTACGCATGTTATTACATCTGTAACGACCGGGGGTAAAGACGTAATTTACGTGAGACAGCACTTTGTCATCACCACTTTCAATTGTGGATATCAAGAATTATGTTCAAGATATTGGCAACCAAAGGTTCTCCAGCACAGAAGGCCATACAAATTCAAGCCTACTCAAGTATAAGGATAAGGCTAGTTTCTTTGTATTACTATTTCCAGTTTTGTTGTCTGCGTTCTTTCTATTTTCCTTACCTCCAATTTATCTTTTAATTAATCAAGCAAAGGACTTTTGAATACTTTCAAACTGAGCATTGATTTGTCNCTTCTTTGTTTAATAGTCAAGGGATATACCCACAACCAGCTACTGCACCTTACCTATCTGGAAGTGGCAAAGAGGTATATATAGTTCATTTTTGGACCATGATGATTTCTCCATTTTGGAGGTGAACTTTATGGTGAAATTTTGTACTTCTACTGAAAGCTGATGCATGAATCTTTTAGAAGTTATTAAAGATTGAGAGAGTGCATTAGAACATATTTGCCGACTTGTCGGAAATTAGCAAGGGCCCAGAGGTCTTTTGTACTATACGCAGGTCTTTGTGGGACCATGCTCCGCCCAAGAAGAAACTGATCAATTCTGCTGAGAATAGACTCGATGATTGTTACGGTTCGAGTTCAGGGGAAGTTTATAAGTTGGCGAAATTTGTCGACTTGTCGGATATTAGCAAGGGCCCGGAGGACCCGCCTGCCCACTGGTTGGTCACCAAGGGAAGATTGTAATGAGGGTGAAGTATTCTTTGCTCAGTTACTGGATTTACCCTCTTCTTTTGTTGTCTGGTGTGTCATATCAATGCATGTACATTTTTTTTTTTTTTTTTTTNTTTTTTTTTTTTTTTTTTTTGAATGCAGTAAATAAATCTATATTCTTTTAGACTTATGATGTGTTGAGTTGTAACCTGAAAAGTAACAAAAAATACAGATTTATTGCAGTACACAGGCACTTGACTTGAATAAACAACTAGTCCACCAAATACATATTGCCTGATTGCTGAGTCATGTCTGAAACTAAAACTGTGGGCCCTCGTAGGTTTGACCGAACTGCCAGCTGTTGGGCGCGACACGGTTAGCTGTCAGAGTCCGGCCGTCGCTAGCGGTGACTCTGAACGAGAGAGACTGACCGTTGAGATACAAGTGGCTCTGCCAATTTTGCCCCCAGTTTCGGGTCATGGGCTGCCACCCGGTACTCGACCCCTTAATCCACACGCTGTGTATGTCACCGGCCCCACCTACATTCGTTACAAGGACCAAAATGAAATACGGGTGTCCGTTCATCGTAAACCTAATTCCTCCTTTCTTCATGCACGGGACCCTGCATGTCGAAAAAATCGATCATTTTTCAGATTTTTTTTAAAAAAAGGTTGAATTGCATTTTTAGTCCTGCTGATTTGACGTCATAGCAATTTTAGCCTCAAGATTCTAACATTTCGTCTTTTGGTCCTGTAATATTTTGTTACAATTTTAGTCCTTTGTGGACTGAAATTGCAACACATTCCCAATTTTTGTTTTTGGGATGAGTTTTTTGTTAGCAATTTAAATCATGCAATTTCTAACTTTATTGCAATTTCAGTCATGTAATTTAAAATTTTATTGCAATTTCAGCCTTCGAAGGACTGAAATTGTAGCAAAATATTAAACCACCGGACGGAAAGGCAAAAAGTTGGAATATTGGGACTAAAATTGCTATGACATTAAACCAATAAGATTAAAAATGCATTTTTGCCTAAAAAAACAAGAATTTTTGTGGCGAGACCTCTTGTATACGACAGGGACTATTCCCGCTCGGTATTGAGCGATTCTTAAGAAGGCAGGCTCGGCTAGGTCGAAATGTTGACGTGGCGGGTTGCACCAACCACCATTATTGGAGGCAAGTGCGTAGTTAGGTGGGCAGAAGTTGGTGGCGGTGATGGTGATGCTTCCCTGGCGGCACCATTTGAGGTCGCCCGTGCATCTCATTTGGTAGCAAGCACCGCAGCTCAAGCCCTTGTTGAAGAGGGCGGTACTTAGAGCTGCAGTGCTTGTACCGTAACCCTGGCTGTACAAGTTACCATACCCACACGCTCCACCTAAATTAGTCGATTCAATGATTGTTAACTTAATGTGAAAAAAAAAATAAGCGAATATGTGTGTATGTATATATGTATGTATGTATGTATGTATACCCATTGTGCCGGAGGCATCTGAGCCTCCGTAGAATGTGGCGTGTGCCATTTGCCAGCTGCTGTCATGGTGGCTATGGTAGCTTTGGGCATGGGGAAAGGGTGAAATGGAGAGGAGAAAGATAAATGTTGGTATTATCATGTGGATACAATGAACCATATATGTATATGTATATGTATACATATATGTATATGTATATGTATATGTATATCTTATAATTGTGTGGAAAATAGGACAATACTATATATGTGTGTATTAATTGTATGTAGAAAATTAGCAAGGACCAAAGATAGAGACTATGCAAGAAGTATTGTTTTATGTGAAGTGCAGGTTGTGTTGTGAGGGAGGAAGTTGCTGATTTATATATATATAAATGGCTAAGGTAGGTAAGGGTGCATGGGAGCTTTTCAAGGATAAAATTAATGCTTTACTTTTGTATGGTTTAGTCAATTGGATTGATCAATACAAATAAAGATTATATTTTTCTTTGAAGTAAACGACTTCCTAATTAACAATGACTGTATTTCATAATTTTTTTTATACAACCTAACAATTTGGATGGTTGATCCGTCATATTTTTCTAACAAAAATACATGCTTACAATGTTATAATTTTGTTTGTGCAGTTTAAAAGTATGTATATGTGTCCAAAAATATGACTGACTGATCGTTATACATGTCTAACACCAACCTTAGTTTATGTATTTATATGCAAATTCTTGTGTGAAATGACATAATCGTTAGACGAGTGGATCAGTCAATGTTTTTTTTTTTTAAATCATACTAGCGCTATGAAATGTCTTAATTTTGTTTGTGTTGTGTTTTGTAATATGACATCTCAGTTTAAAAGTATGCACATACGTTGAAAATATATGGTTATCTAACCGTTACGTCTACTTAAGTGTAATCTGGTGCCATTATATTATGAAAGTGGATTTTTTCTTAACAAATATTGTTTGATCTCGTATTACATTGCAAGAACTATTGACACAAATGTATATAGATGATCAATTTATATGATCATACATATATGTTTGTGCATATGGCTTGATCAGGTGGAATTTAAATAAGTGTGTCCGTCATAATTTTGTGATTAGCCTAACCATTCCCACACTAGCAAATTGATTAGACAGGTGGGGCTTAATTAATTACAAGTTTGAATATTCATACCAAAATCCACTAAAAGTGAAGTCCAATTAAATATTCCATAAATTTGACAATAGACTTATTATTGCAAATGTATATTTTCTATTTATTTCAAAATACATTTTGTTTTTTCTTATAAAATATATCAAACCAAATTAATTGTTTTGTGGTGTTGAATTTCATATATTTTTTTTTTGTGGTGTTGAATTTCATATTTTAATTGGCTGTCGACATATATTGATTTTGTTCACTGGTAAAAGTAACGAAAAAAAAGGTCAAAGATTCAACACTGATGACGTGGCCTAAATTTAACTAGTCAACCATGACACGTAGTCGGGATTTATGCTGGCCTGTTTATAGGCAACCTGAGATAATAAGAGGAATCACATGAAATTAGTTTAGCAAGCATTAGGGTTGGCTTATTTCTTGGACGGCCGATTGTTCACATGTGGATTTTTCCACGAAATATATGTGTTAGGTGGCAAGCAGTTAGCATATGATATCCTTCTGACGTGTCCAAGTTGACTTTTGTGTGTCTTGTCCCTCCTATTAATGCGGTTAACGATTTAATCAAATCGAACGAGTCAAATTTAAAGATTTCGAGTTCATGTTTGATTATGCACGAGCAATATTCGTGTTTCTTCGTTTATTATTCAAGCAAATATTAGTATTTGAGTTCATTCGTTTAATTTAGTCGCTATCTATGAGTCATAACGGTAGATATTTTATTAGGTCATTGATAGGAAAAAGACTTTTTATCATCCTCCGATCCTGAACGTAAGTGAAAAATTCGATGACTGGACTATAGTAGTGTGTAGGGTGAAATTTATAGATTTGTTGGAATATCACTTGTGAGTCGTCCCACATTGATTTGATAGGGTAAATGGGTTTAGTTTATAAGCCTAGTGACTACTTTTCCCATCACCAATTGATTTTGGAATGAAACCTCACTATAGTGCACTTAGGCTCACCCTATAATGGTCCCCTTCATCTATGCAGGGGAGTCAAAGAGCTGAAATAAGTTTCAGCTTTAAATGTATTAACTGAGTAAGTGTTGATCGAATTTTACCAGCATTTACTGTCCGATTCATAGTCCTTAGACCTTACTAATGGCAAAAAGTGATGGAAAATTGTGAAATGTACAAGTCTTGACATTGAAGATGGGCTTTGACTGAGAGCCCAAATATAGTTCTTAATTTAATGTAATTTTAGTTGTAACTTGGGCCAGGCTTTTCTTATTTTTGGGCCAAATTCTTGCATGTTCCCTGGGCCTCCGTTCAGAGTGTACAAGGCCTCTGATGATTAATCCCGATAAGAGAAACTAATCATAGAGACTGCTGTTTTGTATAATTAATGATTAATGGTTAGACAATCAATTTATTACGTACATACATATAATTTTAAACAAAAACAAAAATATATTATTTTATACAATAAGTATGTATTTTTGTTGAAAAATACACTATGAATCGACCTGTCTTCCACAATAACTTGTTGAAAACAATATAAGGAGATGATAAAAAAAATGGCATGATATCTTATGAGAAAATTACAAATTTGGTCTCAAAACTTTTATTGTTTTCTACATTTGGTCCCAGCACACCAATTATGGTCCTTTTTGAATTTTTGTTGCCAAAATGGTCCCACTCCGTCAAGACATAACGGTCAACGTTTATAGCCTGGGACCAAATGTGGGAAACAACAAAAGTTCTGGGATCAAATTTGCAATTTTCTCAAAGAGTAAGTGATAAAAATTATCTAAATTTATTTTTATTTAAAACATTTTTTTAAAAAAAATTTTAGTAAATATTAAAAAGGTATATTACCATTCTTTCCTAACAATACATTTAGTTTATTTTTTAATAAATTATAAAAGATAAATATAACTAATATACAATTATTTCACATTTTTTTATTGTAAATTAAAGTTTAACTTGATTTTTTTTACATAAAATAATTATTTAATTGGGTAACTTAACAAAAGGTGTATAAAATAATTTTATTACTTAGTTCATGATAAATTAGATGAAAAAAAATATATATATGCTATATTTTACTAAATGGGAGTAAATGTCTATTTTCGCTTAATTTAATGCCAAATTTTGTTTTATTATGCTTAAAATTGAAATTTTTTATATAGATGTAATTTGCATAAATAAATAGATTTTTCAATTTATAGTTGTCAAAATCAAATTAATAAATAAAAAATTATTAAAATAAAAAGACAGTAATAAAAAAAATAGTTTAGATTGGGTTTTCTTTTTTTAATTCTTATTATTCTATAAAGTTTGTAAGGATATATATAAATTATCACATTATACTAATATTTAAAAGTATAGACGGATTAGTATTATTGTAAGCATACTCACATTTTTTCTTATTTTGATAAATTGGATTATGTCTTTTGTTTGCTTTATTTAATTAAAATAATATTATTTCTAATTATTCTTTAATTTAAATAATATTCAAATATTTGCCAATATTTTTAAGTAATGACGGTAAAAATATTAGAAAATAAAATAAATACCACTCAATTAGCAATTATATTGTTTGCTTTTCCACCCCAAATTAAAATTTATCAACGTCCTTACTTTTCCACTCGATGTTTATTTTTATAAAATTATTTTTAATATTTATTTCTCGCATCATATTCATAGTAAATTAATTTTATTATGTCATTTCGGCTTTGAGTGAATGAGAGAGACTTGAAGAACTTGAAGAACTCTTTTTTTTTTTGAAAAATTGCAAAATTGATCCAATCTAACGTCCTCACATGAGCCCCGTCAGTCTTGACGGACGTGGGACCATTTTGGCAACGAAAATTAAAAAAAAAACCATAATTGGCGTACCCGGGAGTAAATGTGAGAAACAACAAAAGTTCTGGGATCAAATTTGTAATTTTCTCGATATCTTATTGTGTCCTTTTGTTTCAAATTCCATAAATCGATCTCTGTTTGTGTTTGTCAGTCTGTATGCATGCATGAACAGTTGACGTATATTGACTAACACACAAAATTAGGCCAAAAATATTAAATTGTTACCTACAAACTCCCAACTACACCTTGAATTTTCTAATCAATTTAATCACACTATTTAATTTCATATACTATTCACACATTGACATTCAGGCTATATAATTGCACCTACTATATTTAGAATTATATCTGGGAAACCATGTTAGCTGTTAGCTAGGTTCGGATTTTAATGTTTAAGGAAGCAATGTTTGATTTGTTGATTAATCAAATGACAAGCCTAAGTGCCTAGCACATTATATTTCACTACAATTTATATCTTCAATTCTTACTTACTATTATTAACATTGACTTGCTTTAGGAAGAAGGATTTTGATATCTTAAATAGGATTAGGGAGAAAATAGTTAAATACACCTTGAGTGAACGGTGAATTTCACCATAATACCCATACGTATATAATATTTCTACGGAATTTTTAAATGTTCGATCAATATATACGAGTATTTGTAAACATGTGTGATCGGTTGATTAAAATAAGTTGGGTCGAATCTGCGTGAGTGAATCAAGAAATTGGACTAATATTTTTTAATTAGCCATAAAAGAATATGAAGTCATCATGTGATTGAAAATAAATGGAAAAATGATAGTATACGTGATATATGTAAAGATGCTTGTGTGGTATTTGTGTGTGTGCATGAGAACGTGATTGACTACAAGTGAAAACCGGTTTTGAGTTATTGAATAATTTTTACACCATTAATTAACTCAAAATTCATCCAAATTTAATCAATTTTTTATCAATATAATTAAATAATATCAATCAAACATCCTCACACATCATATATATATATAACTACCCATAATTTTAAAAAATATATCTCATACTTTTACATCACATCAATTTTAATATTTACATTTTAAATCATATATTTAAATACAAATTTAAAATCTTACTCAACCTTCAACTCAATTAAGCTTATTTAAAATTAACTTAATTATTTAACTAATAAACCAATTAAAATCGGTTTTATTTATATTGAATTGCTACCTACTTGTCAAGCCAATCGAATCANNTTATGTTGCATACGTACTATGTTGAGGGTGACCTGTCACGAGGAGTATTAAATAGCACAGGGCAGCATTAATCACTCTTATTCAATTATTATCGCGACATGGACTGTTTTCTACCTCATTACCTTTCATATATGTCGCTAATTGAAAAATGTTTAAATTATTAGTATTTGATCATGTGCATTTGCACAGATATAAAATACGTTTTTGTTTGTATTTATTAATTAGACATATACTTCTATCATATAAAAATTATTATCTTTTGTTAAGTTATTTTTATCATTCAAAATTAATTGAAATTTAAATTTATTTTAACCATGCTACGTTTACATTAATAACATGAATAAAATAATTTATATATTTGTGACATATATTAAGAAATTAATATAAATAAAAAAAATTATTGGTGTTTCTAATTTTTAGAAAAAAAAAATGTGCCAATAATATTTTTCTTCCAACAATGCAACCAAATATAGCGGTCACAACTCTGATGTGTCAATCAACTTTAAGTTCTAATATTAGCCATTACACGTTTGAATATTTTGCTACCAAATTTAAAATTAATTTAGTAACTGATTCAAAAAATAAATAATAAAAATATATATATTAAGGTGTAATGGTTTTAACAATTAATGAGTAATTAATTAAAAAAAAAATGTAACTCCTTTTAAAGGTAAATAAAAATAAGTTTTATTAATTATTTTATTAAATACATCAGCTAGTAATTATATATATGTATATTGTATGGTCCTAACACATATGGCATCTCTAAGAGCATGCTTGGATATAAAAATTTTTGGTTTTGATTGGATTTTTTGGTATGAGTTGGTTAAATTTGAAAAAATTGGTATGGTTAGTTGTTAGTGGGTAAATTAAAATAATATTTAAAATAAAATGATTAAAATTAATTTGATGTAAAAGTAAGAGAGAGAAGATGTGATGTGATGGTTAGTTAAAATTATGTGAGTTGATGAATAGTGAATTAAGGTTGATGTTGTGTATAAGAATGATTGATTGATATTATTTAATTATATTGATAAAATTAATGATAGTGGGGTTGAGTTAAAATTGAGTTAAAAAAAAGTGGTTGAGTTAAAAATGATTGGATTTTTTAGATTGATTTTATATCCAAGCATGCTCTAAATGACTAGCTACAAGCATATATATACATATGTGTAGAGTTTAGACACAAAACTAATGCACTTACGGCTACTTGAATAGTTGAATTTCGCCATCTATATATATTGAAAAAGAGAGGTCAATAAATCATTTGTGGAAACTTTTAAAAAATTGGTCAACAACCCCATTGACTTTCCATTTGTAGAAACTAATTTAAAAATCCTTTCAAAATATATGGTTTTTTTTTTCCTGTTTTTTAGGGATGGATATACCTTTAACGTGATAAGATATATACATGTGATTGCATATTTTGTTGTTGCATCCCAAAAATCATGGTATTTAAAATCTATCCAAATATAATCCATAATTATCTTATCACTTTTGTTATAAAAAATTGTATAAAAGGATATTCACTACCACCATTACAACTCATCATTCACGAGTTCAGAGAAAAAAAAATACAGAGAATAATTTTTCATCGCATATACAATATAATGCTTCCAGGCTGGGGTAAACTTGATATATAATGCTTCCAGACTGGGTACGTTAACAAAAGAACAAACCTTTTTTTGCGTCAGTCCGCAATATTACAATATAATGCTTCCAGGCTGGGGTAAACTTGATATATAATGCTTCCACACTGGGTACGTTAACAAAAGAAACAAACCTTTTTTTGCGTCTGAGAGCCGTCCGCATTATTGAAACCCATCACGAACGGGAGAGCTATAACGCATTTTCATGATGAACAGGTAATATTTACCTTTTTTATTTCAATTTTATATAATTTAGAAAATTATTTTGATTTATATTTATAACAAACCTTTTTTTGCGTCTGAGAGCAGTCCGCATTATTGAAACCATCACTAACGCATTTTCATGATGAACAGGTAATATTTACTTTTGTTATTTCAATTTTATATAATTTAGAAAATTATTTTAATTAATATTTATAACAAAGCATTATTGAAACCATCACGAACGGGAGAGCTGTAACGCATTTTCATGATGAACAGGTAATATTTACCTTTGTTATTTCAATTTTATATAATTTAGAAAATTATTTTAATTAATATTTATAACAAACCTTTTTTGCGTCTGAGAGCAGTCCGCATTATTGAAACTCATCACGAGCAGGCTGGGGTACACTTGATATATAATGCTTCCAGACTGGGGTACGTTAACAAAAGAAACAAATCTTTTTTTCGTCTGAGAGCAGTCCGCATTATTGAAACCCACGGGAGAGCTATAACGCATTTTCATGATGAACAGGTAATATTTACCTTTGTTATTTCAATTTTATATAATTTAGAAAATTATTTTAATTAATATTTATAACAAACCTTTTGAACAGGTAATATTTACTTTTGTTATTTCAATTTTATATAATTTAGAAAATTATTTTAATTAATATTTATAACAAACCTTTTTTGCGTCTGATAGCAGTCCGCATTATTGAAACCCATCACGAACGGGAGAGCAGTCGGCATTATTGAAACCCATCACGAACGGGAGAGATTTTCATGATGAACAGGTAATATTTACCTTTGTTATTTCAATTTTATATAATTTAGAAAATTATTTTAATTAATATTTATAACAAACCTTTTTTTTGTCTGAGAGCAGTCCGCATTATTGAAACCCATCACGAACGGGAGAGCTGTAACGCATTTTCACGATGAACAGGTAATATTTACCTTTGTTATTTCAATTTTATATAATTTAAAAAATTATTTTAATTAATATTTATAAATTTGTATCGTAGGTGCTTTCATTAAATGCATAATACATTATCCGAATATGAGAGGAACAAACTTTATATAAACTGAGAGCAGTCTAATTTTTGTAAAATATGTAAACTTTAAACGTATTTTATATATAAAATTTTATATACTTTTAAACATGTTAGTTGGACAAATTTTAAGGATATATATATATGTGTGTGTGCTAACTTTAAGTATACATATTTTTCTTATAAAATAGTCTAGACAAAATTGAGGTAATTTCACATTTTTTAATAATAATATAAAATATTTTAATGCTTTTACATATGTTATATAATAGTCTGCGTATTCTTAATGTCTTTTGGTTGTAACACTGTTAACACATATAATATTAGATACTTTTAAACATATTTAGCTATTTTTTTTACTCATTCTTTAATATCTATGTGCATAAAAAGAGAATAAGATTTATAAAAAATTTTACGGCAATATACTAAATGTTAGATAAAAATCTCATTTTATTTGTTATATAATATTTCGAGTTGCATTAATTTTGATTTGTATGTGTAAAATTGATAAATTAAGCGTATGAAAAGGAACGTACGAATTACTGTAAAGATTTAAAAAATAAAAAATAAATCTAATTTTTGAATATTTTCTAAACGAATTTATGTCATAATTCGTCATAATTTTCCCACATCATGTCAATATTTATTTTATCTATACTAGGTAAAAGGTAAATCATTATCTCAATATTTATTCTATATATTCTAAGTAAATCTTCTCATCTATCTCAACGGTCCGCAGGTAGTATTTCATACTTTTCTATTCATAATCAAATATACCAAATCTTCACAAATTTTACTTCACAAAGAAAGTGTTCAATAATTTATATTTTTTTTCCTTCTTTGCAATCCATTTATTTTTATTACATATATATAAATTATATTATTTTTAATATTTCACACGTTAAACATTTCAGGAAAATATACCATCCCGTGCATCGCACGGGTACTGTACTAGTACCTGTGTAAGAGCGTTGTTCAAATCTAATTTTCAATTTTTAATTTGAAATAAACGAAAAATCAACTTTCTGCAATATAAACTTTCAACGTAGATCCGAGAATTCAGAATATTTGTCCAACACATAATTCGATCAATCAATTACTACTTCCTATTTTTTTTAAATGTCATATTAACTTTATCAACCATTAATTAAATAAACGACGTTTTAGATCTTTTGTACATATTTTTCCATTATTACTCTCATTTAGCTAATAAATACACTGGTGTTTTTATATTCACTCTTCATATTTTTTCTCAAAACATTCATCTCTATCTAATTGATAAGGATTATTATTGCCAAAAATTTTTTTAATTACTATACAATTTCTCAAAACGACAGTTATTATGATGAATATGAGAGATTAGTAAATTATATCAACCAAAGTAGATTTACTAACATATTTTGGCATGAGAACAACTTGCATGATTATTGGGGACAACAACATTAATTAGCATTAAACTCGGCTCAACTACCACCTACAACCAATTTGGGCTCTATTTTTTAATCCAACCACTCGGCTCGAAATTCACTATAAAACAACCATAATTGGGCCGAGCCGACACACTTGAAATTTTTAACAAATTGAGAAAAAAAATATAAAAAGTTCAATCTAAAAAAATTACATATTTAGTCCTCAGTACATTAATTAATTGGCCTTAGCTTCANAAAAAAAAAAAAAAAAATGGCAATTGTTCCCGGCCACGTGGCGTTCAAGATGGCATGCCTGGTCCTCTTCGCGGCGGTGATGTTGTCGTCGCCGCCACAAATCGAGGCGGCGATGGCGTGCGGGACGGTGACGAGTATGCTTGCGCCGTGCTACGAGTACGTGCTTGGCAAGGCCGCCGTGCCGTCGGGAAACTGCTGTGCCGGAGTGAAGTCGCTGTACCACCAGGCCAGCACGACCGCCGCCCGCCGGACTGTGTGCGAATGCCTGAAATCCGTCACGAAAACCGCCTCACGAACCACCGTCGCCAACGCCAAGGCGCTGCCCGGAAAATGCCGGGTTTACATTCCCTACCAAATCTCGCCATCGATTAATTGCAACAAGTAACAATTTTTTGTTATTAATACTATTTCTTTTTCGAAAAAAAAAAATGTAGTATTGTTGAGATAATCCTACAAAATCTCGCCATCGATTAATTGCAACAAGTAACAATTTTTATTATTACTATATGATAATTGAATGTCACATCTTTTTTTTTTTGTTTTAATTTATAGTTTAGGTAAGGCGTTTTAGATGTAAATTGAAATGCATTATGAATATAGTTTTGATGTTTTACACGTTACTTTACTTTTAAACATGTATATCATTTTCTGCCATTCTTATTAATATCAAACTATTGTGTGAAAGTAGCTTTATTCCTATATATATTATTCCTCTGTAAGTCATTAATATTTGGATGNAATCTTTATTTACGTACGTATGTCGTGTAATTCTGTTGTTACTTTTTTGCAATGAAATGTGATGTCCTTGTTTAATTTGCTCACTTTATTCTTGCTAACTTTGATTGGTGGACTACAAAAAATAAATAAATAAATAAATAAAAATAAAAATAAATAAATAAAATAAAAAAGAAAAAAAAACGAACAAGTACATTGAGTATAACATGGATATCGTACGACAAGCTTAAAGGAGTTGTAGAAAGACACGGCTTAAAAAGTACCTTGAAAATGTAACAAGAAAGAAAAATGACTTTAAGTAAATGCTCACTCTTGGTATGTAGACATAGGATGACACTGAGTTAAAGAGCTATCAATGATTATTTATAAATAATGTAATGATACGTAGTTAAAAAAGTATAATTGAGATAGTAGACATCGAAATTTTAATATTTTATTAATTAATGTTCTTATTTATTTTTTGGACATAAATCCATAATAAATAAGATATATAATTAATAATGTTATTATTTCTTGTCTACCAAGTCAAATCTTAAGATTAGGAAAGAGATTATATTAAATTTGAAAAAAGATTGTATCAATTCAAGAATGACCAATCAAATCTCCAAGACTCTCTCTCCTACACCTATTTAATTCTCCTCAAAGTCACAAATCACACCTAAAACACCTCAAATAATACAGAACCCCCAAAAGTTTTATGTTAGTCATAAAATTTGTTGTTACAAAGATAATGATAATTCATTTTAGCAGACTTATTTGTATCATGTTCATTTCAGTTTTCTTCTTTGGACTTTTTCTGTGTAGCTTCTTCTTTAGCTCTTGAGGCTGTTTCATCTCGTTGTAGCCATGAATGGCTTTGTTAATGCTTAGGTGTAAGGTTCTCTTACTTCTTTGCCTTTTTGTGATCAGTGGATCACCGATTGTAAGACGCTTTTCTCAGTTTTGTGAGTGAATATTATCTATCGTTCGANGTACACACACAAAACTAGCATAGTCTACATTAATATCACAAACATACGTGATATACCTTTCCAATTTTAATTTATATTATTTCCATACATGTGTTATCGATCAACATATAATTGTTAACAGTGTCACACAATTAATATTATACAATAATATGTTCTTTTCAAACTTTGGAACAACTACAATTGTGTAATTTTCAAAAACATTTTCAGCAATTTTAGAGATATATTAAAAAAAGTACATCAAGAGTTAAAGTACCTTGAACTCAATTCCCTTAGTTTACGTATATAAAACTAAAATAGATGATTTATGCTTCAGATGGTCTCAGGCTATCAAAGGTCAGTGACCTTCTGAATCCTTCTGGCTCTAATTGGGACAAAGACCTTGTAGAGCAAACTTTCCAACCAGAGGAAGCCCAGCTGATTCTCAACACTCCACTGCTCAGACAAGGTCAAAAAGACTCTGTAAAGTGGTTGCACCACAAGCAGGAAAAATTCACTGTCAAGACAGCCTACTTGGCTCTCATTAAATCAAAGTTTTTGGAATCCATGTCGCCTGAAACAAGCTCTAATGGTCAACTTACTGCCAAAATGTGGAAGACAACCTGGTCTCTTAGAATTAAGAAGAAGATCAAAATGTTTATTTGGAAGTGCTGGTTCAACTATATTGGTTCTCAAGACCAACTGCTCAGAAAAGGCCTTATGGTGGATCCTATTTGCTGTGTATGTGGTAACTGTGAGGAGACACTTGAACATATTTTCTTCAATTGCTCAAGAGCTGTTAAAGTATGGAAAATTGCAGGCATTGAATGGGAAGCTTTTCAATCTCATTCCATAACATTTCAATCTTGGTGGTCAGACATCTGTAATATGAAGAGGGTAAGAAGCTTTCAGGACCGTATCCACTACTCCTCCTTTATTCTCTGGTGGTTATGGAAATCCAGAAATATCTGGATTTTTAATAACTCCTGGAAGGATGAACTGGAAATTGCAAATGGAGCTCGAAGAGAATGGTTGGAATTTGATGAAGCTAGTAGTTTGTCTGTCTGATTTTCCGTTCGTAGTTCTTCTTTGCTTGTTGGCCGTTTGGTTTGCTTTTTGCTAATGATAGCTACTATTTGTGGAAGGCAGGCTAGGGACCTTAGGGTTCAGTGGCAAGCCCTCTATCAGTTGCAGTAATCTCCTTATATAGCTATCATCTTTTGTAGTGTTGTTTTTAGCCTGTTTTTTAGAACTTCTTTTTTTCTAGTTTTTGTTAGTCTTGTCTGGTTTTGTTGTTGTTTTGTATGGGATGGTTCCATTGTAACTTAGCTCATGTGTTGAAGCTAAGGCTTATGTCTTCTGACATGCCAACTTGTATATAACTTTCCCGAGCTGGGCATTTAATATATTTCATCGTTTCGAGAAAAAAAAAAAAAGAAACTGATGGAATGAATCAGAGAGAGACAGAGAGATGAGACACCAACGATTAATTGATACATGCACCGACACACTCTCAGTTGTCGACATCTTTCTGTAACTTCAACATGATTTACTTTTAGGTAAAATTGCAATGATATTTAGTAACTATAACAATTTTGTTCACTAATGTTTCTAATTGCAGAAAATATCCATAAACTAATTAAATTGCAAATAATATTCAACATGATTTTTTTTATTTTTTTTTTGAGAAAATATAAAACCGTGTGCAAATCATCAATAAATTACTGCAGTTCACGACACATACATATGTAGCAACACTATAATTCCTATTAGGCAGACATACCGATTAGTCAGTCATATTCATTCAATAGATATATATACTTTCAAATCAAAATAATAAGATGTCATACTTAAAAAATAACATAAATAAAAATATAACATTAATAAAATAAGTATATATTTTAGTTAAAAAAAGTATGACGATTATCTAAGGTTCACTTTTATGTTCCATTTCGTATTCCACTCCATTAGATGAATGACACATATACAAATATGACATCTTTATTTACACGTGTCATTAATTCAACGAACTCGAACACGAAATGAAACGTAAAAGTCGAGTAGAAAATCTCATTCATTTGAATTGTTGGGTGTGCAAATTCAATCCCACATCGAAAAATTAAAAGTTTTAAGTCCAATATATAAGTTTGGTGGGTTACTCTTTTTATTGCCAATTGATTTTAGAATAAAATCCCAATTAAATTTATATGTTGAGCTTGATGAAGAATTGGACTTGAGTTGTTGGTCCTAAGAGCATCTCCAATGTGACTTTTGACATTGCGAAAAATTATCCATATCATCAATTTTTAAAAGTTTATTATTAATTTATTCTCCAATGCATCTTGTCATTAGCTCTTTCATGATGATGTGGATGACATTTAATGTTGACAATGTTGAACTCACTTTCTAATATCTAACACCATGTTAAACATGATGACTCATTAATTCACTTTATATTTGATTTTATTTTTTATTATTCTTGTATTAATGAATTATTATAATTGGTCCACCTATACAAATAAATTCTTATCAAATTGGTGCATTGGAGATTCTAGTTTGATTCAAATTTTTAGTCTTTTAACATTATTCTTATGTAGATTAACATTACAATCATCAATTGACATGTGTTAAAAATTATTATCTTTCAAAACCATAGCATTGGAGATGCTCTAACATGAATCACATATTGAACACATAATTAATACACCACATGTTACAAACTTACAATACTTCCCGTGAACCCAATCAGAGCCACAAAATTGGACTTTTCCTTATATTACTAAAGCTAGTGAATTGCACCCCAAATCATACGCCAATATTTATTCGGCATTCAATTTATCCACCCAACCACCACCTAACAATGCACACCCGTCACACACATACACCTCACTATTATTATTAACACAACACCCAAAATTCCATGCTAAACAATTCTCTATATAAACACCCTTTCCTAGCTTCACTTAAACCCATCCAAAAATTCCTCAGCAACAAAAATATTTATATATATAAAAAATAAAATAGTAACTAAACCACCAATTTAGTACATTATATAAGTAATATCAAATAGTTAACATGGCCGGCCAAGTGAAGTCCCTCTACGCCGCCCTCATCGCTGCCGTGCTGCTGGCGGCGGTCATGCCCCCGCCAGCAGCGGCTTTAGGTTGTGGGACGGTGATCAGTTATTTGTCCCCTTGCCTCCCGTATGTGACCGGCCGAGGCCCGATTGGTAAGTGCTGCAATGGGGTCAAGGGGCTCTACGCAGCCGCTAAAACCACCACGGACCGCCAGACGGTGTGCACCTGCCTTAAAAATATCGGGAGCTCGACTGGTGGAGTCAATTACAACAAGGCCGCCGGGCTACCCATTAGATGCGGCGTCAATCTTCCTTACAAGATCAGCCCTTCCACCAACTGCAAGAGGTACGAACGAACGATTGAAAAGATTTGACCCGATTTTGACTGATTTTGAACAGCACAACACCGTTTTTTTTTCTTTTTCCGGTTTGATTAACGTTGATTTCGTTCTGTGTACTTCTTTACGAACTGTTTGAAATTCAGTATGAAAAAATTGAGATTGGCCCGGTTTTGACTAATTTTGAACGACACTACACTACACGTCGTGACACGACACAATTTTTTTTTTTCGTTTGATTAACGTTGTTCATGTACTTCTTTACGAACGATGTTCGTGTAGCTCGTTTATTGAAATTGATTGGTTTGGTGATTCGGTTAATGGTGCAGGATTAACTGAGTTCGCGAGGAGGAAACGCGCGGCGGATACTGAAGTTGGGTTTGTATGTCGATCGAGCGAGCCGTAGCGCATAAATTATCTTATGTTTGTTATCTTATGAGTCGAAATAAAAGGAGATATGGGACATAGGTTGTTTTGTTTACCATGGGTAAATCTTAAGTTTTCCTTCCCAGCTCTGCTGGTTAATCGAGTCGAGTCAAGTTGAATCTGTTTTTACGGTTTCGACTATATATGCATGTTTTTTGTAATGGAATGAATTTGTGGGTCTTGTTTTTGCTTGTTGCTTGTTGCTTGTTTAGAATTACTTACATATACAACACTTAAAATACTCATCACTTCACAGAGATATATGCAAATATCACAGCTGAGCTTAATTAAATGATAATATATAGTATGGCGAGTAATAACAAAAGTAAATAAATTAAAATAATATCAGCATTTATCAATACTTTTTCTAAAAAATAAGATGCTTATATTAGTTTAATTAGACATTAGAGACGAGTGTTCTGCACGTGAAATGTGTATTATTCGGGCAGGTTCTCAACTTTGGAGAATTACAAACATTGGAATGAATAATTTGACATTTAAAAACATACAATTCAAGTTTTAAAAATGAAAAATTAATTAAGCCAAATTGGCCATAGCTACCTGTGACTCCGTGGCTGACAACTGTCTCGTACGTGAATCAAATGATTTGTACTATTTAGGAAAATTTGTACAAGTGACACTTGATAATATTATGATTGATAAACAAATAATAGTTGTACGAGAAAATTTACAATGATGTGCAGAATATATAAGTGAACATGAAAATATTATGATTAATTGCAAAACAAGTAGTTGTGCGAGAGAATTTACGTCACGCATGTTCATAAATCGTGTGAATGCTCAACGATACAGTAATATTAATTGAACAGTACTTTTACTATTTTATGCTAAAGTCTTTTTGACTTTTTGTGCTAGACTAATTTATTTTTAATATTTTTTTAATGTTTGATATTTTGTTTTTAATTATTTTTTTTCCCATCATATAGTATACACAATATAAAATAGAATTAATTGACTACAAATAGAAATAATTTTTTTTTAAAAAAAAAAAAGAAAAAATGATGCTTAAACCACAATTACTCCCCAAATTGAGGGTATATTTGTATACAAATATATCCGGTTCAAAATGAGTTTTTTTTTGTAACTAGAGTTAATTTTGAAAATTAGTGTGGTTACTTATTAGCGGAATTTTGGTTTTATATTAAAATAATATTTAAAATAAAATAATTAAAGTTGATTTGATGTAAAAGTAGGAAGAGATGGTGTGAAATGACAGTTAGTTAAAATTACGTGAGCGAATGAATAATAATTAAATTAAAGTTGATGATGTGTAAGAATGATAAATTAGTATTATTTATTATATTGATAATATTGAAGATAGTAAAGTTGAGTTATATTTTCTTGTACCAAAAAAAAAAAAAAATTGAGTTATATTTTTTAGTATGAATTGATTTTTTTGTATACAAACACACCCTCGAGTGTCTATCTATAAATTTTGTCCAGGATAATGAAACCTGATTTCAAATGGTTTGAACTCTACTCTATCAGGAATATGGTTTACTCAAAAACCATTCTCAATTCGAAACCTTGGAGCTAACAAATTCCAATTTATCTTCCAAACCGAAGAAGACAAGGAAAAAATATTGAGAGGCAAGACGTGGTCTTTTGATGGGCAATATCTCTTGTTGAAACACTGGGACCCTTCAAATCTGGAATTCTCAGAGGAAGACGAAAAAATTAAAATCTGGGTTCAATTTCTGAATCTGCCATTACATTGGATCTCGGCTGAGGCTGGTCTGAAAATTGGGAAGAAAATAGGAACAGTCATTGATGTGCTTCTGCCAATCCCAGGAAATAGCCATGGTCAGATATTGAAGGTGTTTGTTCAGCTTAAGTTGGCTGACCCAATTCCAAGAGGGACATTCATTAAAGTGGGAGAAGAAAACAGATGGATTGATTTCAGGTACGAGGATATTCAAGGGTTATGTTATTACTGTGGTAAAGTTGGCCATTCTGAAAAAAATTGCCTAACTAAACAAGATGATGTGCATATGAATGTGCTTAACATTGGCCAGTATGGGGAATGGATTAGAGCCTCTTATAACTTCACTTCCTTTAGCCCTAAATCTTCTGATGCTTATGATTCGGGTAGTTTTGAGAGTGGTCAAGATAGGGAGAACAATCATTCTGATGGATTTCATAAATCCAATGTGGGAGAGGAGAGTCATAAAGCAGGTTCTTCAGGGGCTAAGAACTGTTCTGAGAATAGACAATTAGTTGTGCTTAATGAGGGGGAGGGTAGTGGAGTCATAGGAGCTGTTGAGAAATGTCCTGTAGAGGAAAATAGAATAGTTGTCCATGCTATTGAGGATACTCAACCTCTTGATTCCAATCTTGTGGAGGTTAATATTCTACCATCCTCTATTGGCAGTAGGATTGCCCAGAGAAGGAAAAAACCCTTGTCTAGGAAATCTGCTAAAAATAAAGGAGTGGTTATAGAGGATGATATGGCCATGGCCATTGACTCTGAGAAACCAATGTCTAATACCTTGGAGTCTGCTTGTTCTTTAAAAAAAAGAGGTATGGAATCTTTGGATGTTTCTACATGTCCTAATACTTCTGAATCTGATAAGAAAAAACAAAAAATTTCTGTTAATCTCTCTTTTGATAAGGTGGAGGAAACCAGCCTTGATTGGTCCCAAAAGTTTAAATGAAGATTTTTGTGTGGAATTGTAGAGGTTTGGGAGGACCCTCTACAATTTCCCAATTCAAAGAGGCTCTAAGAGCTCACCTTCCCGATTTTGCTTGTCTTCTTGACACTAAGAAAAAACCAAAATTTATTTCTTCTGTTTGTAAAAAGCTTAAATTTGATGATAGATGGATGTATGTGAATCCTATTAATTCCAGAGGGGGGATTTTAGTGTCCTGGTCTTCTAGAATCATTATTTTGCAAATTATCTCTTTTGATTTCTGTGTTCAGATTCAATTTTGTCTTCTGGAAGGGGGGTCTAAATTTTGGGTCATATTTGTTTATGCTAGTACTAATGCTTCAGTTAGGGAGTTGCAATGGGAGCTTTTGCTTAGACATAGTCTTACTTGGGGGGAGATGTGGTGTTTGGGTGGGGATTTAAATGACATCCTTTCCAATGATGAGAATAGGGGTGGGATTGTTAGAGAGGTGCATAGTTTTTCTAGTTTTCATAATTTCATTTCTGGTCTTGGGGCTGTGGACAGCAAGTTTGTGGGTCATCCTTTTACTTGGGCTAACAATAGACAGGGCAATGACTTTATTGAAGAAAGGCTTGATAGGTTTTTGCTTTCTCCTGCCTGGCAATTACATTTTAATCATGGCCAAGTTAAGCACATTCATGCAACATCCTCTGACCACAGAATGATACTTTTGAATACTCTTGGCACCTTTGACTCTCACAAGCACAGGTTTTCTGACAAAAGATGGGTTAATCTTCTGGGTTTTCCAAAACTGTTGATACTGCTTGGAATACTCCTATATCAGGGTCGGGCATATACAGTATTAAAGAGAGAATCAAAAATGTGAGAAAAGCATTGTTACATTGGAAAGCCTCTCTAAAAACAAACTCCCTGAAGGAAATTGAGAAATGCAAGGAAGAGCTTAACCACTTGGCAACTCTTGGAGGAGACAGAGACTGGTCCTTATGGCAGAAATTGACTTCTGATCTTAACCTTGCTTACAAAAATGAGGAAATGTACTGGTGCCAGAAATCCAGAATAAGTTGGCTTAAGGAGGGAGATAAAAACTCCTCATTCTTCCATGCTAGTGTCCAGAACAGAAGAAAGGTTAACTCCTTAGATAGTCTTCTTAAGTCTGATGGGTCGGTTTGTGAGTCTTCTCAAGACACTCTCTATGAAATTATGGCTTATTTTGAAAGTCTCTTCAGATCTTCAGCCTCTCAGAATCATCAATGCAGTTTAGAGGGGATTCCAGTTTCAATTACTTCTGAGATGAACGAAGCTCTAGTTAAAGAGGTCAGTGAAGAAGAGATTAAAGAGACTCTTATGGCTATGGAACCTAATAGTGCACCTGGAATGGATGGACTCACAGCAGCCTTCTTTCAATCCTCTTGGCCTATTCTTAAAGATTAAATCATCATGGGGGTAAGAAATTTTTTCTTTTCTGGAAGAATGCCAAAGGGCTTAAATCATGCTGTTATATCCCTTATCCCTAAAAAACTGAACCCCTCCTCTGTTTCTGATTTTAGACCTATTAGTTTATGTAATGTCATTTACAAGCTCATTTCCAAAATCATTGCTAATAGAATTAAATCTGTCTTGTCTTCTTGTATATCCCCTTCTCAATCTGCTTTTGTCCCAGGTAGGCAAATCCTGGACAATGTCATTGTGGCTAATGAATGCATTCACTACCTAAATTCCAAAAGGAAAGGTAAAGACTGCTTTATGGCCATTAAACTTGACATGGCCAAGGCATTTGACAGGGTTGAATGGGACTTTGTGGCTAGGATTTTAAATAGGATGGGTTTTTGTTCTTTGTTCATTTCCTGGGTGTTAGCTTGCATTTGTTCTTCTGCTTTTTCCTTCAATATTAATGGTGAATGTTTGGGTTATTTGAAGCCTTCTAGGGGCTTGAGGCAGGGAGATCCCTTGTCTCCATATCTATTCATTTTGGTGTCTGAAGCTTTTTCTAACCTTGTCTCTCAGGCTGCAGTTCATTCCAACTTCATTGGCATTAAAATTGGCAAATTTGCTCCTTCTGTCACTCACCTATTCTTTGCTGATGACACCATCTTATTCTGTAAAGCTAATTTTTACCATGCCTCTTTGATCCTCAAAATTCTTTCAGACTATGGTAATGATTCTGGTCAGAAGGTTAATATTGACAAATCCTCTATTTTCTTTTCTTATAATACTTCTGAGGAAACCATTGCTGATATCTGCCAGGTGTTTTCTGGGATTTCTAGAGTGAGAGCAACCAAATACCTAGGTCTCCCCCTAGGTATTGGCAGGAAAAAAAAAGAGGTGTTT